GCTCTTGAATTATCACCACTGTGACCGACATCGATTAATAATCGACAACTCGACAGTAAAGGAAGTAACAACACACCAAAGACGCTTAAGAGAAACCTAGCTACATCAGACATCACCAAAAGTGAAGACAATTGACAAAAACACGGAGCAGCAATTCATGATAATCTAAGGACGAAGTTTTTCTACAAGCTATCATCTTTCTACTTGAGATCAACGGAGAATTATTTCTTGTTCGAGGAGTACTGGATTCAGCATCAAAGAACGACCTGATAACAGAAGCAGTTGCTCAGGGGTTATAGATACGTAGGAAGAAGCAGACAACAAGGTTTTGCGGAATTGGAGGAAATGAAGTTTGCGACAACAAGGGACAGGTTCATCTGCTCATCGGGCGCTCAGAAAATGAAACATTCTTAATAGCAGCATCAATTCGTGAGAAGCTAACCAACAAAATTGCCTTCGTGATGAATCAGCACAAACAATTGGACAACAGTGAAGCAATTACAATTAGCCGATCCTGGATTCAACAATTCACAGAAAATTAACTTGATCATTGGAGTAGCATGCTACGAGGATCTGATGATTGGAAGACTGGAAGAAACAGAAAAAAGGAACAGACAGGTTAATTTTATTATCGACTATCGTTTTTTTGGCTGGCTTCTAATTGGACAACAAAACAGCAGCAACGGACTTACTTCTCTACTACAGACGATTCTTGCCACCGACGATAGCAACTCAAATAGTCGAGGAAATCGAAAAAGTTCCAGAAAGAAAACTGTGGACACCAGAGGACCTTAAATGTGAGGAACATTTCAAAGCAACAACTAAACGCAGGCCAGATGGACAATTGGTGGTGAAACTGCCATTGAAAGAAGAAACTGGACAACTTGGAAACTCACTACAGCAAGCTCGAGGACAACTACGCAGGTTACTTTTTCATTTGGAAAGGAATACTGAGGTTTACAAGAAGTACAATAACTTCATCGACGAGTTTGTCAACCTTGGTCATAAGGAGCAACTTGCAGACAACCAGTTAGTGCGACTGCACTATAACTGTTTCTACATACCACATCAACTTGTTTCCAAGGGTTCAAGTGCGACAAAAAAAACTTCGAGTGACTTCCAACGCATCATCAAAGACATCTGGAACATCACCCAACGAAAAATTGATGGTTGGACCAACAGTTCAGAAAGAACTTTTCAGCAATTTGTTTTGCTTCGGATTGCATCAGGTAACACTCTCAGCGACATTGCAAACATGTACCGTCAGGTGCAGTTGGAAGAAGAAGATAGAGACTATCGTCAAATCTTGTAAAAGAATTCAAAATTTGACTGAGGTTAAGCACTACCGAATGACCAGAATTAACTATGGAATCGCTTCTTGAGCCTTTCAATGGATGAGACCTCGTCAAGTGCTTGTCGAACAAAGATACTGAATCAGCAATTCAACTAAATGAGGGATTCATCAATACATTTGCTACAGCTGGATTTGAAATTTGCAAATAGACATCAAACGAAACGAAGGTAGTAGAACGGCTCCTATGTGATATCGAGAAGCAGCAGATGAAATGATAATCAAAAAGACGACTATGTCATCAAAACACCGGGAATCAAATGGGACCCGCTGCCAGACCATTTTAGCTTTGCATTTAAACTAAACGAACGGTCTCCGTTGAGCAAACGAGAAAAAATCTCAGAAATGACCATAAGCTATGATCCCCTTAGATGGATTTGGCTTACGACCATTCAACTTAAGACATTCATACTACTCATGTGGATGGACACGATCTCATGGGATCAAACGATATGAGTCACAATACAGGGACACTATGGACGCCTTCGACAGCAGCTTAAGGAACTGAAAAACATCGCCGAGTTCTTTTAGCTGAGACAACCAAGGAACTTCACATTCATGTTTTCTGTGACGCATCAAGTACAGCATATGCAGCTTTCCTGTATATCCGACAAGAAACCAGGGAATGTACAACAGACGTCAAAACTTTGACCGCAAAAATTTGAGTTGCGCTTATTGAATGCATTTGTGTTCCACCCATGGAACATTGTGCAGCACTTCTAGGAGCAAAACTAGTGAAAGCGACTCTATCCGCAATCAGCGACAAGCGTTCTATCATACCAACTGTTTTCGGCTGGACCCGCTCTCAAGTTACAATTGCGTGATTTTGGGAATTTCCTTGCAAGTGCTAATTGAGTTGAGATAATTCAAGAAATTCTACTAGCCGAGAGATGGAAATTTTTGCGGATGAAAGACAATTTCGCTAATTGTGCTACTCGGAGAAGTTGAGCCGTGGAAGTTAAGGAAGCTCGTTAGACTCTCTACAGCTTGCCGAGATTCAACTTATCAGGAAAGGGAAACGTATTCCAAGGAACAGCAACCTTCTGAGCCTTTCGCCCTTCTTCGACGATGAGAGCAACAAAATTCGTTTAGAATGACGCCTCGCCGATTCGCCATACGTTATCGACAAAAAAAATTCCAATGCTGATTCCCAGGGAAATTACCAATCAACAAATTGCTCATTAGGGATATCGTTCCATAGCGGTCCTCAGTTGACACTCTGCACCATTCGACAAACGGTATGCATAACAGGAGGCCTCGCGTTGGCCAATTCATAATTGCAAGCCTTGGACAGGACGTCAGACTTCTTTACTTAAAGTTAGGAAATTTGCCGCTCAAAAAAAATTGTAGAATTTTTTGCTTTCAATGACACAGGGCTCGATTATTGCGTTTTTTCTACATTAAAGACAGCAGCAGCGAAGAAAATTAAGTTTATGTGGTTATCGTCATTGCTTTGCAACTAAGCAGTTCACATGGAAACCGTCAATTCTCTCACAAAGCAGTTCACATGGAAACCGTCCACTCTCTCACAAAGGACGATTGCTTAGACATTGTAAAACATTTTTGCACCAGAAGAGGTTTACCGAAAGATTTTTACAGCGATAATTCGATAATTTTTATTGGCTCGCGAGGTGAAAATGAAATCCAAAAACTGATGATGAACGAAACACTCAAAGAAACTCTCAGCGCCTTCACAAACGACAATTCAGTTTTATGCATAACAACCAAGAGCGCCACACTGCCAAGGATTATGGGAAGCGGTAGTGAAATTGCTGAAACGACACTTCTACCGAATATTTTGGAAAACGCGACTACAACTTCATCAGTTCCTGGCAATTCTGACACAAATTGGGGGCGTCCTCAATTCAAAACCACTTGTTACGCCATCTAAGGACGTTAACGATGCACTCGCTTTAACGCCAGAACAAGTTCTTATCGGAAGACTATTGACAGCAATGCCGTGTTCGACACACGACAAGAAGACATCGCTCAGTCGACAAATCAAAGCCATTAGCAACATAGTTCGACGATTCTGGAAACGTTGGAAGGAAGAATACTTGGCTTCTCTGCAACAAAAAGTTTAATGGACGACATCGCCATCACAAAAATTTACCATTGGAGACATTTTTATTGTCAAAGAGGACAACATCCCGCCTTTGATGTGGCCAATGGGTCTTATCACTAAAGTTTTCGATGACAATGACAACATCATTCGGGTTGCACAAGTCAAAACTCGAACAGAGTTCTACAATCGACCAGTCATTAGATTTGTACTCATGCATTTCGACAGAAGTTGACCGACTACAGAACTTTTCTTCATTCAGGACATAACTCGAGGATTTCTTCTAGCCGTTTAATTAATCCCGTTCAATCTCTACGAGGCACTGTAGCCGGCAAACTGTACCCGTAAGGGCAACTGTAACCGTGCAACTATTGACTTTAACTAAATTTGTGAAACAAAAACAGAAAATCTTTTTTCTCAATTCTGAACAGTTTGAATTTCTCACGCTTATATGTTGATAAACTAGGAATTTATTTTAAGTTGGTTAGATATCTAAGATTTATGAAGAGAACTGGACTACATCAAAAAGCAGAATAATAACACGTGTTAGGCTTGCAATATCAGAGATAAGTTCTTCAAAAAATAGTCGAGAATAACTGTGTTTTGAGGACAGTTCCTAGCATAGCCCACGCATAAATATTTCTTAATTTTGTCAAAAATAAGAAAAAAAGATTAGAGTGATTTTTTCTTCAATTTTTTTTGAAAATACAGTTCTTCGGAGCCAATTGTCAGTAGTCTATAGATATTTAACTGTTCTGTAATTTTAAAGTTTGCTGCAAGTTTTTAGTTTGTTGGTGACTTTTATGCGAAAACTGCCTAATTTAAACGTTTGTCTGCAATTTCAGTAGCAATTTTTGACCGGAATATCAAAAATGGGAACCAAAAACAAAAAGTATTGCAAAATCGGTTTTCAGAATTTAAGTAAATTTTTTTTTTGAATTTTTCCATAAAATTGTTCCTGCAAAAACTGACTATTTCTCCAAAAAATGACCGTGAAATTTTTCGATTGCCACAAAAACTTCCGCGTAAACCAAGTTTTTGTTCCTTAATTTATATTTCAGTAGCTTTTTCCTAATTCATACGATACATGACCTTGCCTTCCACTATATCCCAGCTATTCCGATCTCAGGTAAATCAGAAAACTCTGCAAAAGGTGAAGTTTTGAAAGCTTCCACTCAAACCATATTTCGATTGCAATTTTTATGGACTCGAGCAGAGGCAGTTCTAAGATTTTCTCGAGATGGGTTAAAAAACTTGAAATATGGATGCATTAAAATTGAATCAAAGGAGGGTGCGATTGGGTGGTTATGAGGTCAACTCGCAGAGGGGAAACCAAGAAAAGTTTTTTTTTTTTCAAAGAAAAAGTCAAGAAAAATTTTTTTCGTAGCTTATTGCTCTTCAGTTTTGATCATTTTTGTCGTAAGTAGTGTTTTTCATTAAAATCTGAAAAAATTTTAAGAACAAAAATTTAAGTCCTCGTTTCAAAAACATCAAAGTCATTTGATTTTAACTCTCGTATACCAATCAAAGCCATAAACTTCACACCAACTTAAAGTAATTTCATTGCTCTTGTTGAGCTGCGGTCGTTTCAAATTGGATATCTCAGCATCGATTAATAATAAAATCACTCAAATCGCAAAAACTGTATGAATTGTCAAAGCATAGTTTTTACGCTACGAAAAACATTATTACACATATTTGAGAGCATCTTTCTTCTGTTATAAACATTTGTTGAGTATTTTTTAAATCAAAATCCAAAAGAAACATATTTATAACTTGAGTGAAAAAGCTATCGGGAACAAACAAAAAACTTAAAATAGGGAAATCGTAATAGACCAGCAATGTCAGCGACTGCAGCCCAGCCACCTTCCAGACAGGGGGGCTCGGATCAAAACCAGGGGGGAGGGGAGGCGGAGGGGGAGGGTGCGAACAGGAGAGGCAAAGCTATCACCACATGTGTGAATTGTGGAAAGGATTCGCATGACCTGCATCTGTGTGTACATTGTTCACAGTCACAGTGCTTCAATTGCAGGTGAGATTTACAATTTCTCCCTTGCTGGTTTTTTCAAACTTATTTTTCAAACGAATTTTGCGAACTCAATGTATGGGGAAGAGAACAAAACACTGATTGTGCCCGATTGCCCGGGTCAAAACAAAGTAAAATGACGCACGTCCTATTCTACTCAAATGAATTTTTTTCGCAGTTTAGTTGTCCTTTTTATGCTGCTAAATGTGTGAGCTCAAAATTCTTTAAAAAAGGGCGGAAAATAAAAAGAGTAAGATTTACAGAGTAATTCGACTAAATCGGAGTTTAACACTAAAGTACCTTCAGTTTTAGGCTAGATGTTTATAAACGGACATTGTTCGATAACTAGTACGCTTACAATATAACTCCTCGGTATGGGAGAATGCCACAAAATCATCAGGTTTTTGCTGACTCTGAGAAATCGTACAGATACTGAAATTCAAGTTGAAATATTTTACCAGCTGCATACGTAAAGCTGAAGCTAAACTATACGCGTGGAAGGAAATCCTAAAGAACAAAACTGCTCATTGAGTAGGATATCCTAGAAAGGAAAAGAAAATTTTAATCTTGATCATGATTACTTATGATTATTCTGTTTTTTTTTATATAACTGAATTTCACCGAAGTGAGCTGAAGCTAAAAAACAGTTCATAAAAGTTCCGAATGTTTTTCAAGTAGATAACAAAAAAAACTGCTAATAGAATCTCATAAAGCTGAATTGGGGCATTTCATGGATGTTTCCAGGTACCATATCGTTTTGTTTTAAGTAATTAAAAGCCAGTACTACTTTTACAGAAAGCAATCTTTGTTAAGCAGTTGTCGAAATTTCCTTATTGCAAGGATGATGTCTGACTTGCTTCTGGTGCTTAGTCTAAGTTGTTCGGCATTTTTTGAGACAAAAAAAACATTGTTTTTTGATCTCAATATATTGAATAGATACTTGGACAACTCAAAAATTAGAACTCAAAAACTTTAAGTAAGTTATTTTCTTCCATTAGACTTTTGATTGACTCGTGTCTACGATTAAAAGCTTAAACCGAAATTAGAATTAGAACTGAAACTTAGAATTAGATTTACTAGGCTGCAAAATAAAATAGTTTTTGCCAAAAAACACCAAAAAATAAACAAAGTTAATTACCAAAAAAAAAACACTATCTCGAATATAGATATCGCGTTTTTTAAAAAGAATGATTCCCGAGCGTTTGTTAGCACTAGAAAAAAATCTGGTAGTATAAACGTCATCAACAATTATACATTAATTGAGTTGTTTTTTAGCCCATGATTTGTACAATTGTTTTTATGAACATAAAAACCATATATTTGCACCTCACAGAATTTATGTTTCTCAAAATTTTCCATATTTTAGTTTTAGATCAGTTCTTGCACACGATTCAGGTTTGCAAAAATCTTTTGAACATGTTTTAAACGATAAAAAAACAATGAAGTTATATGCGTTCAATGTGCTGTTTTTCTTCCAATTGACCGCTCGGTTTACTTACTTAACTTCAGATCGACACCGAAAAAGCCGGACACAAAAAAAACGCAGCAAACCAAGAATCCGGAATGGGATCATTTGTTTGTTTCTCGGCACTTTCGAGACATTTGCGTCGTTTGGTACCTCATCCGCGAACTCCATTGAGGAGTTTTTCTTCAAATACAGTTCAGTTATTCAAAGCGCAATACAAAATCACGGAAAGTTTTTCTATACACTAAAATACTCAGCGTTTTAAACACTGTGTTAACCGTCTTTAAAACATGCTTTTAACATTGCAACCGATGACGTCCCTCATGATAGAAGGAACAATTTATGCAAATTTATTATTAGTTATTTTCAGCCAATCAGAATTGATTATTTAAAAATCTCAAAAAAGTCGCAAGAATCTCAGAAAAATCGAATAAAATTATGCCATTAAAATTAACACTGACCGATCAGAAAATCAGCAGATATATGATTTATCAAATATTCCAAAGCCTAAGTCGGTTAGTGAAAAAAAATTAATACCAATTTAACAAAAAATAAAACAAAAACTTTTTGTGTATCTGCACAATTGTAAAGAAAAATTTTCCTAAGCTACCATTATTCATTTTCTGTAAAAATAGTCGTTTAATTTGAGATTTTTGTGCAAGGATCACTATGATCGGAACATTCTTGTCTTTTTACACAGCAACTCTCGTACATTTGCATTTTTTACGGACTTTTTGTTTTAAGTAAAATTTTGTGTGTTCCGGGTTGACAAAAACTCTTATCATACAATTTCCATGTATGAAAAACTTCTTAGCATACAATTCCATATGTACTGAAAGTTGTTTGAAATCTCTATGATAAGCATTTTTCCATATATCAAATTGTATAATAAATATTTTTCCATAAACCAGAAATGACAAAAACTGGGTGTACTCGAAGCACCGAAGTTGAACGGTCTTGCAATTATAATGCAAAGAAAACTCTTTGAATTGTCTTATGGTATTTCATAAATGATATATCAGAAGTAACAAAAATTTAAATTTTGGAAAAAATTTTTAAACGATGATTGATTTTAAAATTTGTTTTCTTAAATTATCAGACACTGATCAAGGCATAAATAAACACGCCATACAAAAAAATAGGAGTTTTCAGCGTTTTTGAAAAAAGTTATTGAGCGAAAAAAAAACATTCCAATATTAGTGTATCCATGACTACGTTTTGCACACAAAAAATTAAATTTTGCATGCAAAAGTTTTTTTGGAAAACGTTTGATTGAGAACAAATATCGGTTTGATTTGCGGTTGAAAAAAAACACCAAAAATTCTTTTGATGCAATTTCAAAATTACTGGGAATTTTTTTTGTGTCGCGATCAAAAAAATGCTAGTCATAAAATTCCCATATATAGGAATTGTATGATCAGCCTTTTTTCAAAAAACAATAACCTAGGTTTTTTCTACCACCAGACTGTTTTATTAGAATCAAACAGCCGCAGAAATAGTTTTTTTAACCATTTTAGAAATTGTACAAAAATTGTATGACAAGCAATTTTCCATGCACTTGATGTATGGAGTTGTATGACAAGCATTTTCCGTGTATGGAGGTCAATGCGGGTCAGTTTCAAATAATATTTTTGTAGAGGTAGTCTTTTACAGAAAAACTCAGTAATCTTTTTCTAGAAAAAAGCACGTAGATGTCATTCTGGACGATTATACGCAGAACAGGAAGGAGAGTAGGAAGATCAAAGACGAGTGTGAGAAGATTATAAAAGAGCTGGACAAGTCGGGGATCGAACTCTCCAACTCCTACTCTAGAGCAGAAGTCCAGATAAAGGAGGCATTTGACGAGGTTCGTAGTTACCAGACTCAAAAGGGTTCACATATTTTTTAATGAGCACCGATTATAAAAATACCCAAGAATTTTGAACCAGTTGGAAACAGGCCAAGAACAATCAAAACAATGTGAAACACCTTAGCAGTACAGCCTTTTTATTACTTCTTATATGATTTTTCTTTGTGTGTGTTTACTGTAACAATTCATAGAAAAAGCACATGAGCACGTTAAAAATGTGTTTTACATGGACAGATTTTTTTGAGAGTAAAAAAAACTGGAAACCAAACATTAGAATAAATTTCAAACTGAACATTCAATTTGAACATAGTGATTGAATTTAAAATAAACGAAGTTCGAAGAAAATGGAAAATCTGCCCCCTTCGGGATAATCTTTTTTCCTCGCATTTACTGGATGTCAATATAACAGTGAGAAGCACCTGTGAGAAAATCCGCTTCGTGTGCTATTTGTTCCGACATTCGATAAAAGTGACAGAATATTTGTACTTAGGATGACCTTTTTTTCAAACAATTTTCGTTTTTAACTGGCAATTTTTGTCTGAATACCATCTGGATAAAATTCGTGTTCAAATTTGAACATCAATATTATTCAGATTGTATTCAGCCAAAAATGCTGGCTATCATATATCATATAAGTCGCATACCATATCACTTTGTAATTTACATAACGCTTCAGGGCATAAAAAGAAAAACCAAAAAAAGTTTAAAATGTCGAACCAAAATCCTTTTCATCATTAGTAAAAGGCCGTCGGAACATTCAGGGCTTTGCAGTTTTAAATTCGAGCTGTCTTTAATTCGAGCAGTCTTTAATTCGAGCAGTCTTTAATTCGAGCAGTCTTTAATTCGAGCAGTCTTTAATTCGAGCAGTCTTTAATTTCAGCATTTTTTTTCAATTCGAAAAAGAGGTAGACGTAGAATTCAACAAATTATGCAGAAGAAGAAGAAGAAAAATGCTGCGAAGTTTGTTTTAGCTCTCCGAGTCAATCAAACAGAGGAAGTTGGCTCTCATTCATGAGTTGAGGGAAAAGAAAGACGAGGAGATGGCGAGACTGAAGAAGGAGCAGAAGGAATTGGAGGCGGATGTGGGGGTCACAGCCAGAAAACTGGAACTGAACTGCGGCACTACGGGTCAGTAATGTTCATAACATCATGTAACGGTTACTGCACATCAATTCAAATCTCCGGCTAATTTCAGTTGCTATGGAAATTTTAAAAATTAAAATCTTGAAGTTCAACCCTTTCCCTCAAAAAATCATGATTTTTATTTTTATGATTTTTATTTCCATAGCAACTTGAATTAGTCAAAAAGAATTGATTAGCGTTTCTCGAAGTCAAAGTTCAACCCTTTCCCTCAAAAAATTGACTTCGAGAAACGCTAATCAGTTCTTTTTGATTGATTGATTGATTAGCACTCGTTTTCTAATGCTGTGTTTTTCAATGATAAGGGTACCTTACAAAAGTTGAAATTTTAGATGCTGTCACAGAGCTTGCAAAAACAACTCGTATAATTTATTAATAACGCAAAACACGATAACTCGTACTAAATTAGTAGTAATTAGTAGAAGCAGTAACCATAAAGTGAACAAGTTTAAGAAATTTAACTAAACCGGTTACACGGACCTACTTCTAGAGAGTTTCAGAACTAAAAGGGCTAGTTTGGCAAAACTATGACCTCGTGTTTGCTTCGCCAACTAATATGATCAACGTCATGGTAATAATTCGAATACTGCAACCAGAGATGGTACTAAACGACTTCGAGTTGAAACAGTACAAAAAAATTGAGTTAAACGTTTAAAAATATCATATTAGTTCAACTTTTCATTCGCCATCTGATTTGGTTTTTCTTCGAAAAAAAAGAGTGTGATTGTAATACCCAGATATTAAGGTCAGCGTCGTGAGGGCGAATGCATGTGGCTGATCCTAGGTAGAGTTGCTAGCTTCATTTGAACCTATTTGCTTGTAAAAAAAATGATGCTCAATTTGTTATGAGGCTTGTGATTTTGCTGGAATTCAATTTATTTATTTATATAAAATCGAAAGACAATCTTTAAATTATTCATACCTAAAACCCGTAATCCCACAGCTATTAACAATTGAACATCTGTTAATGTCTAATTCTTAATGTTTATAATAGCTAATTGTAGTTATATATACAACCAAATTTTCATTCTAGTTTGGAATGGGTTACGCGCACTCCACAGTAAGCATGAAAAAGGGGAAAAAACAAGTCAAGTTCAATTGATTTTGACCTGCTTCAAATTCGGTGAAACTTGCTCTAAAAGTCCAAAGTATGAATAATTTCCTCAAAAGATATTTAAAAGTCTGAACGTAGTTTTTTTAGCTAAGAATATTCAAAGTGAGATGGGCGTGAAATATAAACTACTAGACGACTCCAAATTTGCCCACTTGTGTTCACTGGAGTTCAAGTCACGAGAGTGTCTGAACGACTTCGGAAACACAGCCGACTACTGTCAGACGAAGGAAAAGGCCGAGAAGGTAGAAGTTCAGTAATTACATTTGTTTTCTTTGAGAAAAAAAGCGCATTTTTTTGGGAAAAAAGCTTATTATACAAAATCATATAATTCCATGCAACTCGATAGAGCAAAATACATGAATTTGGCATTTAATTCGAGGGGAAAATTTTTATTTTGACCTATTTAAGGGGGTATTGTTCACATGAGCCTCGAAATTAAAACTTAGAACTTAGCAAACATTGAATTATCAAAGAATGCAGCCTAATTTGATCCAGAAATCCTGCTGATATAAGGTCGAAAAAAAGGAATGCAGCTTTCGTATATAATTCTGTTTGCAGGTATATTTCGACCAGGAGCAGTTGCCAAACCTAGTACAGCAGATCAACCAGTTCGGAGAAATAAACCTGGGTGATAAGAGGTCAAATGAAGAAGAGAACAATGGCATGAATAACGGTTAGCAACAGAGAGAGAACAGTCCAATACTGGAAAGCAAAATACTCACAGATGAAACTATCATTTTTGATATATTGCTAATTTAAAATTTATGATTTTGGCAGTTAATGATTTTGGCAATTTATGATTTTGGCAGAAGTTATTTGCCCTTTTTTCTTTTCTTGCTTGTATTCAATTCGGATGTATGGCTATCGTTTTGATCAGAATGATGTTGTATTTTAACAAGTCAAGTTGTCAAGAGTCATCACATGAAGTGTAGATTTTGGAGATTACTTCTCTAGGTTCGTTTTCTTTTTCCTAACGACACCGCAAAGTCGTCCCTTGCAGTGAATTTAGCGGGGCGACCGAGATTCACTACTATCTACAATCCCGAAAGTTTTTTTTGGTGGCAACTATTCTGTATTGTATTATGTTGCTTGCCCCTCTGTGTATTGCTCTTCCGGCTGTCTTGTCTACTCGACACAGTTGTAAGAATTTCCAATGTTAAATTACTTCAATTGATTATACGTCCAATTACAGAAGGATCTGAGTGGCCAGCCTATAATCTAATCATCAAACCAAAAGGAAAGGGTCCGCGATTTATCGGCCAAATTGGCTAATTGCAATTAACTTCCAGCTAACTCCACTAACTCTAAGCTATTCTCTCTCTCTAGAGAATCTCTGATGAGAACCAACTATCTACCGATTCTGCTAAAATTGTTCGTTTACTCAGAGAACCAACTACTCTTAATAGTAGCTAACAACTGTTCTGACTCTTAAAGGCTCTCCGGTACTCTCCATTTCCTTACCTTTTTTCTACACTTAGTTTTAGTTAAGTCACTCCATTCCCTATCAGTCCTGACATCCGCTTAAATCACCCGTCCGCACATGTTTAAGACTATATCCCTCCACCTGTCAACTCTGCCAGGTGCCAAGTTCACTTTTTTTATCAATCTTGTCACGCTTATTATGCGGTAGGTGTCACAAATTGACCAAGCAAACAAATGTCATACGATTCTAATCAGCTAATTTCTGACCTCAGTGACTTCAGCCCTCGAGTTCAACTCAACCTCCAAACCATGGTATGTTTACTCAGTGACTCTCCCAAGGTCTTTATTTTAATTATCCCGTTAACGTTCCGACCTCCCAAGGTTAGGGGGAGACCCTTTTCATGGACAGCGAATTCATTCCAAGCACCTAAAATTTCGATCTATACTCTATTCCAATCCCGACCTTCTAGCTATCAGGGGAACGTAGTTCGTCCATTAGGGGTTAAATTAAAATAAAAAGTCAACTCCGGGGAGCCAAGTAAATCCCCTGTCCGTTCATACTATTTAGGAGACCTAGTTCTTATGCTGCGGTCATATTTCTATCAATTTCCTCAGAGACTTTTTTTCTTTGGTCTAGTTGAATTGCTAATAATAGAACCTTCGCCAAGAAAAACTGACCCCAATGTTTACCAAGTCCACTTTGAATTAACTCTACTACCTCAAGAATGCTTTATAAAACTATATCTCTATCAGCTTCTGCTCTATTTTCCAATATATGAGTTTTCCTCTCAACTTTTAGCAAAGTGACCTATTCTCTTTTCCAGGAGTTGGGCTGTGGAATACGCCACTTTCCGGTGTTAACCTCGGGGTTTTCTATGCAATTTTGGTGTCAAGACGCCCAAAGGTCAACTTGAGGTCACCCAGGGGTCATCTGGTGTTCGAACTTCCATATTTGGGTTCACAATTCCATGGGGGTCCTAACTACCAAGTTCCATCCACATTCCATTAATAGTTCACAAGTTATCCCATTTCTAAGGTTCAATATCGCTTTTTCCAGAAAAAAGCTATTAACACCAGAAGGGGTCGCCGGAAGGTTTTCACTCACAAGGGATCTTTTTTCGGGTTTTGTATCTTAGTTTGAATGCTGCAATAAAATCATTCGGCCAATGTTCATTAATTTGCGTTAATTACCTATTTCCGGTGTTCAAATTATGACAAAAGATGTATCTTGCCATTACCTATCATCCCTCCAAGTGTCAGCTCCCTGTGATCATTGGAGGCCGAGACACGACTTGCGGAAGTTAGGGGGCACAGCGCCGGAAGTGGGGGTCCTAGGGGTCTGGGGCTCCAAACTGAAACTTCCCTCAACTAGGCCTACAACAAACTAAAGTTTGAGCCCAATAGCGCCTCTAGTTTCTGAGTTCTGATAGGGCCATTTAAACTTCCGGGGACCATTATCACTTGCCCCCCAACAATCTGAGGGGTCTTGTTTTTCGTATGCCCGGGTCAAATCATCTCTAGTATCCCTCCTCTGAATTTCATTATATTAGCTTCCTTAGTTCCGATTTTAGTGAAGGGGGGTTTGCCGATTTTGTCAAATTTTATTTTCTGCCATAGAAGGGACGATATCTTCGAAGAATGGACTAATTTGAGCTCGACCCTTTGTTTTCTGTACTACTTAACTAAATAATTAATCAATCTCACGCACAGGTCACTGTAGCATGTATTACTGTAGAATGAATCACCAATTCTACATGTAGACTGAAACATTGACCACCGTTTTGGATCCTTCTTTGCCCGATGGGTTCCAGTATGTAGCACATATATTCATAAAAACTTATCGTCGGAAATCAAAATCAAGTTCAACAATGGCAAAAATTAAAATATTCAACATGTTTTATTACTTGTGATTTAATTTTCATTTAACTATATGAAAACAGTTACTCAACAATCAAGTCACAGTAAAAAAAAAGAATACATCAGTGGACAAAAAACCGCAAATTCAGTTTTTTACTCTCCAAAATGTCTGTTTTTATTGTTCAGTTTGGCCAGCATTTACTAAAATGTTCTACAAAAGTTTTACATAGACTGAAAGCAAATAATCTGAGCTACCCCTTATGACCGAAGTGAAAATCCCAAGCTTTTCTCATCTGCGCCAAGTTTTTCAAATTGCCTAAAATTTTGAGAATTAAGGAGTTTAAATGAATTTTCACACTGAGTTGCATTGAGTTTTCACCTTTTTACTCCGCTTATACAAAAAAAATACTCCGATAAAAAACTTAGCGCTGATAACAAAATTTGGCATTTTCGAACCCAGATTAAATTGGCAAGTCTTTGAAACAAAAATTTGATCGTTCTGTAGAAGGCATTTTAAGTAAGAAATATGTAAGAAATATGGGAAACCTGAAGGCTTTGCTGAAATTGGAAGAGTAGCTTGTTCAAAAGTGACACTGAAAACAGACGTTTTAGAGTCTACAAAATTAATTTACGCTTAATTTCGCCGCGTTTGTAGCAGTACATTGATACAAAATGTTTTCAGGCTGTCGGGTGATCTTAATATTTGAAGTTTTACGATTTCACCATCTTTCAGCAAATATTTTATAAATTAATAAAAAAAACTATTAAAAAGGCAGAGGTGGAAATCAAACACCATAGCACTTTTTTCAAAGCCATTAAAAAAAATTTTGTTGAAATTTTTGATGGAGTTTTTAAATCGTAGTAGTTGAGAAAATGTTGAGTTTTGAAACTCGCTTGGCTAGAATATAACACTAAGTTTAATACTGATTAATTTTTTGACCTTCTTAAGTCTTGGCATTTGCAAATTTTGGTGATTAGTTTGGCATTTGAACCAAAAGTTTTAGACAAAGAGACAAACTGTTTATCACTAACACACCTGTTCTGATAAATAACTCTTAAAAAAAGTATCTCGAAAAATGAAACTGAATCCTTACTTTCGATGTTGGGTTAACGGAAGCTACTCGAGACAGTTTTTTTCAATATTACGCTTGGACAGCATTCGACCGAGCTCTGCGCTCTCCGTGCTGTTTGTGAATCATATAGCGAGTTATGAATCAATCAAGAGGTCTCAAAAATTGCCATAAAAAGACCTGTCAATAAAAACTTCAATTTCGACTGGTCAGGATTTCATTTTTTAAATCTCGACTGTACTTTTAGATTACTTTAGATTATGTCCACAGCAGCTAATTGGCTGAAATGACAAAAAATAATTGGGGTTTCTGCAGTTCGCAGAGGATCTGTGGTTAAAAACTATGCAGCCTGTTTAAGCATAGTTTATTCTATTATGTCCCCACATTCCAGACTGATAGGTTCAGTTGAGCGATGCTTTTCACATGGTACCACTGTTTCAGCCGATATTGGTCAGGCTGTGGTAGACCTGAAGCTAACGGTCAAGTGAGAGCTCGGCCTCACACACTATCCTTGCCATATCCGCAGCTTCCGATGTTATAATTGGCTGAATTGGTTTTTGGCTATTCTACCTATTCACTAAATGAAATCTTAATTAAGTTTTCAGTATTCTGAACCGGTTTGAATTATGAAGAATTGAATTTTTTTAGTTTCCTTAATTATTAACAAAGAAGACTTACACTATCTGTTTTGAAAAGTTATCAAAAAAGAAAAAACTTTCCCTTAAAGCAACCAGGTTGAGCCTTAAATAAATTTTTGACTAGCAATTTTGGCTTCAGAAACAAAGTTTGAATTCTCAACGGACAAAAATTAGTCAAAGAAACTTGAAATTACTATCTTTCTTAGTAATTACAACAATAATTAAACAACTCAGATGACATACCATCGTTTTCAAAATTTTTACAAGAAGCTAAGCTTAAGCTAAGTCAGAACGCAGATGCCGTATTTTACAAGATATTACCAATTTCTTGCAGAATAGTTAGTCAAACGAAGGATTTAGCCAAAAAAAAAGAAAAAGAGAAAAGAAAAAACTAAATCATATCCGAATACAAAACTCCTCCTCAATTTCTCTAATTGAAAATCTGTACTCCCAGTTTAAAAATCTTTACTTCCAGTTACAATTCCCTTGCTTATCGCACGGTTAAGCATAAAACAATATTCTATGATTAAACTGCCCAATAGGAGAGGTTCGAATGAAACGGAAAAAAGAGCATTTTTCTACGAGAACATGCATTGAAATAACATTAGGGTTCAAAACGACAACTTGAAGAAACAATTTGTCAAAACGAAGAATTGGTTTGTTTTGAACGATTGGCCTATCTGAGTAATAAAACTTTTTGGTTCAACCAAAACAACAATTTGAACTTGCAATTAGTACTCTGACTTTTTCACCGAACCAAAAAATAATACTCTACTTGTTGATATTTTTGATTGCAAAGTTGCGAAAACATGTTAACAGGATATTCGGGATTTGCCCTGAATTGAGTAGTCTTGTTTAGTTTTGCTACCAAAAATGGTCTAACTTATGGTTCAATTGGTTATAAAATACTTCAGAAAAGGAAAAACTTTAATTCAGGAAAGGACAAAAGGTTTAAAGGTATATATATTGCTTCATCCCGGATACATTTCAATCGACACCCATTTTTATTTAAGTCAACATGAATTCTTTAATCTTTCGTATTCTCAGACTCTTTTGAAACTTTTGTGAGTCCTCTGTTTCTGCCTGACAAGTCAGTTTATTGAGAGCGGTTTCATTTTGTTCACGTCTGAAGTACGTTTGTTATTAAATAACATTAAAAATTAACGATCCGATTATAGTTTTTGTTTGATTTTATAATTTTCGAGAGAAAAACGCATGCTGAAATTTATCATGGTTCAAATTAACTATTGACAAAAAAATAAAGGCACAATTTATAACAAGTGTGGTTTTTAATCTCGGCTCAATTTTGAGTGTTAAGAAAGATTGAAAGCAAACTTAGATCACTCTTAAAATATGCTCTAATATACATAAAGCTACAGCCTCTGTCATCGGTAAAACCAAATTGTATGATTTCTTAATTAAAAACCAACAAATTACCGTCAGAAAAGTCTCAAGCTAGGTCTTTTTAGTACATCAATGGCTTTTGCTTTTAATGAAGGCAGTTTGGCAGCAATAATCTTGCAAACAAATCAGGCGTGTAATTCTCTACGTCAACTGAAAAAAGTGAACGGTTTTTACCTGGATCCTCCGCCGAGCCGTGATACAACCAGAACATTTTGTTCATTTTCATTTGCTTAAAGAAACTTTTTGTCGTCAAGTTAGTTGTCTTTCATTTTACGGTTCAAAACAAAAATTAACTCAATAAAAATGAGATTGGGACTTGTCACCGCCGCTGTGTTGCTGTTCGCTTGTCTTGTAGAAGGTGGGTAGTTCCAAATTGACTTAAAAAAAGGTCCACGAAATATCTCAAACCTTTTGCAATCAGTCCCTTTCGAGAAAACCTGTTTCGTCTCTGTAATAGTTTCACTCATTCTAGAATCAAATCCAGCTTCAAAACAAAATAAAAATAAAGCAAATCGGGTAAAAAAGTTATTCTACAAATATTTGAGACAAATGTGATTTTTGTTTCAGCAAACAAGCATCACAAACGATCTTTCCCGAAATTTGCTGTTAGGAGTGATGAACTCCGCCGAGAAACAGAAGAGAGAGGGTACGTAATGACGGACGCCGACATCGGGGTGAAGCACAAGAAGCCGAAACATGACTTGCCTGCAAGCGGTAGTGGCAGCGGTTTCGTGAAACGAGAGGAAACCGAAGAGCGAGAGGTTGAAAAGGGGGTTTCCGAACAGCTCGAGAGAAGGCGAGCCTCGCATCGGCTGCAACAGAAGCGAGAGCAGCAGGGCGCTAGGAGGGATTCGAACGAGAGACGACAGGTTCCCGGGAACCAGAAGAGAATGATGCAACCTCGCGGGTTCCACGGCCAGAACCGAAATCATTAAGCGAAGAAGAGAAAGATAAACAGAACAATGTTTACAAATTTTTATTAAAAAAATCAACTAATTTGATATTTCGTAATAATGCCATATGTTTATATTAACCATAAGCCAATGTTATACTGTCAACGTGTATATAATAGTGTGTACGATTTTGTGTAAGCAGGAACAAAAAATTACTTTCAGAAAAGCTCGTTTTTACCTTAATAGATTCTTGCAATGATCAGAAACTCACGATTGCCATAATTTACTGGTCACGATTCAAAACTTGAAGAAAAGACAAATTTTTGCTATATTGAGGATTGCGAGTGTCAAATGACTATAGACATGAGAAATTACGGAAACCGTAAAAGCAAAAAAAAAAGAGAAAACAAAATGACGTTTTCGAAACGAAACTTTACGGAAACTTCTAATGCAGTTCGAATCACGGCTGAAGGGCTTTGAAATAACATACATTTTGACTACATTTGAGGTTTGAAAGAAAGAATTGATTTCTCCAGTCAGCATTATTATATAAGCAATTTAATTTAAATAACATACTATTTCAGCCACTGGTACCAGGAGAAGATAGCCAAAGGGACCGATCGATCATCTAGCCCTTGTTGAGTTAATGTTTAGAATCTTAAATAAAATTGTTTTTATTTTGAACAGATTTTTCAAACTGTGAAAAATGAGCTCCCATCATCAGACAATTATATGAACACCATATATTGCTATCAAGATAAATGTAGGTAACAATGAAATAAACAGAAGCGACGCAACACTTGCGACAACATGGCAAATAGTGAAAGAGACAAAAACCGTTTTTGTTTTCTAAAAAACTAAGTTGTTAAATTACTTGTTTGTAAGCTGTTATGATCTTAGTTGATCCAGTTCTTAAGATTGTTAATCACGTGACTGCTAAATTATTGCATAGCCATCAGGAGAGTCTTGGAGAAAAAAAACAGAATTAAACTATAGCTTTCTTTGTTCAACGTGTGCGAAATTAAAAAACGATTCTGAAATGCATCAAAATCTCTCCGCCAAAAGAGTATTTCCGGGTATAACAAGCAAAAACAATATCTTCTTATGCAAAACTGTAATTACAATAAATAAATAGTTTAAATTATTCTGACGGCGATTACAAAGTGAGGTTTCTTTTTGTTCTAATTTCTAAGTCGCTCTACTAATCTAAGATTCGTGCTTGTGGTTGCAAGCAAGAAAGAGGCAACATTTTTGGTACCAAAAAGTTCAGATATCAATCAGAGATCAAAAAGTGTTTACCACAAAGAGCTGAACTCCCTATTTCAACTTCCGCTGATAAATGAATAATCGAAAACGAAAATTATCTCCTAAATTCAAGAAAAAAGTATCTAATTGAGACACAAACTACATTTACACAGTTTAGAATTTATCAAGTTGTTAAGACATCATCTTGCCTTGTTTAATAGAGGTTTTTTTTCCTCAAGCAAGCAATTTCTATTTTTTTGGACTTCAATCATTGCGCAAAATCCTCAAAGGCTCTCCCATAACATGTTTCTTCAAAACTGAAACCCAGTTATCTCTGTCGTTTTTACTGTTGGCTCTGAAAACAATGTCCGGAATATTCTCGTGTTCCAGTTTGAAGCAAAATTCAGCCGGTCTGTGGTTCACGTCTTGAGTCAGTTTTCGGACTCGCCAGCTGATTAACGGCTGGGTAGAAATAGCCCGGATGTCGTTTTTCTGGATGTATTCGTAGAGTACACATTCGTTCACGGCGTAGTACGAAGTCTTCCAGGTTCCTTCCCGAAGTGCTTCCAGGACCCCGCAAACATCGTGGGAATCGGCGTTGCCTTGGAGGGCATAAATGTCACCTTGAACAAGAAAAACGCTTTTGAATTTCAAATTTTTGCTCTGATCGGAACCTATTTTTATTATAATCAATTAACGAAACTGTCATATCACTTATGGGTCAAACTAATCACTCATGGAACGAGACTGTCAAACCACTTATGGATTTTTGACTAATGGCGTCCAATAACAAACTCCACAGATAAAAGTCAAACTTTCTGATACGAGTTTGACGGAGAAGGCAGTAATGGTGAAGTGAGTCAAAAACCTTTTGAATCCACTCCTGAGAATAACCATTTACAAAATAGTTATAGAGCAATCAGCGAAATCCAAAATTTCACATAGACGTATTCTCTACAGCATTGGTCAAAAGTTCTAATAGTGCTCAAAAACGTCGTTTTTCGCATGTTGTTTCCAAATTTCGCGCGCGGCGCAAACGTTTTGTGGCGAACTAAAAAAAATCAAATTTGCCGACAATTTGAACCCCTAAAAATGTCGACAAAAAATGTCGACAATTTGAGCCCCTAAAAATGTCGACAAAACTTTCTTTCGCCACCTCCTAAGAAAATTCTTGAGCACGCCACTGTCAACAGTGTAATAACTATAACTGCAAATGTGTGCGTGGGTGGATGCTTACCCTCCTTGAGGTACCTCTTGTACTTCTTGGACCTGCCCTCCCTGGTGGCTGCCTCTGGCTCCAGAGCATCGAAGCAGATGATGCATACTCTGTCCCTTCTGTCCTTGTAGGGGACAAATGCCACCTCACTGCACTGGGAGCAGATCGCCTTCCCACAGGCACGACAATGGTGGTACCTAACACACGACACACCCCTTCGCTTCCAATATTTTCTACTTCTTCTTCCTGTTTTGAAAGGCATTTAGAAAAAATCTTTTCACGTTGTCTCAATGCACTCAAATTTTGCATGGTGAACAAATTCTATGTTCTGAGCACCTTTGTTTTTAGTGCATGAGATAAAAAAAATCTCGCATTTATCCACAAAAGCGGGTAAAATTATATAGAAAATGAAAATTTTGCAGCGTGTTTGTGTATTTTTGCAGCGCGGCGGGGGAAGGGGGGTAGGAGAGATGGAAAAATGAAAAAAAAAAGCTAAGGTTCCTTTATTCATTTATCCAGTGATTATAAACACAACTGTTCAGAATTATCTAGTCATTTTATTTGATAATTATTTTAAATTTAATATCTGTGGTACGCACCCATAAAATCCTTATTTAATAACTCCTCAGACACTAAACGATCAGAACTGCTCTTTTGTAAGTACCCGAAAAGAGGATGGATTCATCAGTCGACATTATGTCCACAAAAACGCTGGAGCAAATATGCGAACCAAAATTTAAGTAATTGCAGATGAAAACTGAATGAAACTCATTGCTCTTACATAATAAGACTTTAAATCCCCATATTCTAGATTATCCAAACGGCCATGAGCATATTCACATTTTGTTTGACGATTCATGAAATTACATTGAAAAGCTTAGGATAACTATTTGTAAACTTACCTTTTTTGCTTAAGAGTGATTGTATGGATGAATGACAACTTGCCTGTTGAAAGCGGAGAACTTCCGGACACAGCCTGGGATCTGACAAGCCGACACTGTGTCATCTCTGATCCACACGGGGGCAGTATGTCCGAGGGAAGACACCCCTTGGGCCAACTTGCCAATAGAGTACAGCCTCTCGCGGTGTGCTGCACAGAAAAAAAAACAATTTATTCTCACGGTGTGCTGCACAGAAAAAAAAACAATTTATTCTCACGGTCTGCTGCACAGAAAAAAAAACAATTTATTTGAGATGAATTTTTATTTCATTTCTTTATACCTCAGAGAACTACTAGTCCACTAAACCTCTCCCCCTACCAGCCGAAAAGCAACGTTTTCTCTGAAATCTTTGCAAAAAAAAAACGTGTTTGGGCGTAAATCACAAAATGAAAACTCCATTTAGTTTTTTATACTTTTGACTTGCTTTAAATTTGCAAAAATATTTTGAAGGAAAAATATCAATTTTACTTCATCTGTTAAGCTTTCTTCATCTTGTTTTTTTCTTAAAACTAAGCGGATGCCCCGCTCGAGCTTTCCTCTTTTCCATTCTATAAATGCTACCCCCACCCCCCATCTCTTTTTTAACTCATCTATTCTATCCCATTTCCCCCAATCCTTTTCTCAAAACTAATCTGACCTTTGACTGTTGTCTCGATGGACTCGTACCACTCAGTCTGTTGGTCTGTGTCCTTGCATATCACAGTGACCGATCGGTCTTTGGACCGAATGATCAACTCCCTGTCTTCTCTGTTCTTGTGTGTCTCCACTGACATGTAGGTCAAGTCCATCTTCTGCTTGAACAGGTAGCTACTGTTCTCAGACAGAATTATGAAGTACATCAGCACATCTGAACACAAACATATTCACATTTTGATCACTCAATTTCAGCTTCAAAAGATTCCAAAAACGGAAGTTTTATTTCACTTAAAATCAGATTTAGAGTTAAATGGTGCAATTTAATTTTGGTCTAAAATTTTCAAACAATGCTTAAATAAGTAATTTAATAAATCAAAATAGCCGATTTGAACATCCAATCCAGGGTCAAAGAAAACTTCAGAAAAAGGAGTAGCACGGGTACCTGAGAAGAGGACGAAGTGTCTGTCCTCGTATCCATTGCGATTGGACTTCACCAGCAGTTCTTGCTTCACAAGACGTCTGTCCGGAGTAACCAGCTCCTAAATTTGTTCTTGCATAAATACTACGTTTTTTTTTCAAAACTTATTCTGCACTTGATCCGATTGCTCCCACTTAGTTCAGATTGACCTCGAGGGGAACATTATGGCCTTAAAATTCCAGTAGGACCAGATAATTTACTATCAGGGGGTATAATGGGTGGGGGGGGGGGGGTTAAAATTAGATAGAGCAATCGTCGCCAATTTAGTCAATGTGAAGTAATTACTTTCCTACCCCTATTATACGCATGTATTTGATTCTATCTTTTCTTTATTACAGCATAAGAACAACTTTTGTGATCATCTGTGAGTTCACCTTGAGTTCAATGCCGGCTACCTTCTGGACCAGTTCGTCCATCTCCTTCTGTTTCTTCTGTTCCCAGATGGCCTGGTCCGCCTCCTCGGCCACCATGCGAGTCTCCTCTAGCGCCCTCAGAGTGTCCTCGTAGTCCGGGTACTGCCTTTTAGTCACCTTGAAATACTTGTCCTGGTGTTCTGACACATAAAACAAGCACAAGTTAATACTTTTCAATTGTAAGACATGACAAAGACCTTGATGCCATTTTATTAATATTTGGTTACGCAAGGCAGTATTTTGGCTAACAGCTAGTCAATGCTTAAAGGCTCTTGAAAGGCTCCCTCGAGTGAGCTTCTATTCAGGAGTGTGCGACTATATTTGCAGCGATGCATCATATTGTAAGACTTACGCTTGTAGACACTGAGAAGCAATTTGTACCTCAAGATTCTCTGCACTGGCTCCATCATTATCGACTGAAATCACATACTTTTCGACGTTTTCGTCTTCCTTCTGACAAACATTTATTCAATTTTTCGTCCAAAATAGGTCTTTTCACGACTGTCAAAAATGATTATGGAAAAAACTCCGCCTTTATATCTGCCTGTCTTAACCCGTGATCCCAAAAATAAAAATCTTCCTGGTTGTAAGACTCATCATATATCTAAGAATAGCCATTTATCGAACCCAAAAAATGCTTTCAAATGAGTTCTCATTTTATCCAGGTAAACAATAATAAAATTTGGCAGCTAACTAAAGTTTTTGGTGTACTGCACAGTTTGTTTAGTCGATAAATTTTGTAAAGTATAAACAAATTGTTCCTTCATTGAAAACAAACTTTTTATTAAAGAGATAATTTTAAAAAGCGACAACCTTGATTCCGTAGAAGAGGGAGCCACCGATGTAAGTCTCGAAGAACTCCCGCAATTTGGCGTGTTTCTCAATGCCGTGCATTAACCCAGCGGAAAGTTCGTCGTGTTTGGTGACGTAGAAGTTGTAGACAGTCAGGAATTTGGCCACCTTGGCCAGAGCAGCCCCCACTTTAATCTGACCGGCCGCGGGGTCCCAGTTGATCTCAAGCAGCACCTGCTCGCTAGAAAGGGAAAAACTTGGCTTATAAAAACAAGTTGGACAAAAATGTAACAGATGTTATTTTGAAACCAAATTACCAATGAAGTTCGCGGCTTTCAATATATTTCACAGAATACCCTAAAATTATAGAAGCCGCTGGTAGACGCGTTATTTTTCCCCTGTTGCGGGAAATGCCGTGTTTTGCTTACGTATTTATCGTATATTGTTGGTTATTTGAACTTGGCAGTTATGATAAGATATCCGTCTTTTCGATACTCGAAGTCCATTTTTATCTTTTGAAATTGATTTTAACTTAATTAGTCAATTTGGTTAAGGTTCCATTGGCACCAGTATTCTTTATTGTTCCGACCATTGAAAATGGGGAGAAACTTTGGATTCGGGTGTGTTTTAGTTTTTTTTTGTTTTCCACGCAAAATCAGGTACCAACAAATAATCATCGGACTGGGTTGAGTGATATATCATGTTGAAGCCAAGCAGAAAAATTAAACTAATTTGGGAAAAAAATTTCTAAAGCGTAGTTTTCTGAAGACTATCTATAGTCGGAACATTCCCTGCTACTTGCACAGTAACCGGCTATCCTTGTTTTTTTTTACTTTTGTTTTCCAAGTAAAATCAGGTACCACAACTAATCATCGTATAGGGTTGAGTGACATATCATATTAAAGCCCTTTCAGTCGTGATTCGAACAACATTAAAAAAATGTTTGAAATTTTTTTCACAGTGTCGAGAAAAACGGGTTTGAAATTTTTGATTTTTGGTCTAATATCGAGCTAATAAGGCGACCAAGTATGCTTACAATAGTTTATTTAAGTTTACTTCTAGCTGTGGAAATTTAGTTTTATTCAAGTAAAGGTAGTTTCTGGAGTTTTTTTAGCGCAATTTTGGGAATAAAAAACTTGAAAATTCAAAAAGTTTTTGCAAAAAAAATTGAATTTTTTTTTAGTTTTTGTTCATTTTTCTAGTCTTTTTTTTTCATCAAGAACTGAAAAATTTTTCATCAAAAACTGAAACATTTTTCTAGTCTTTTTTTCCAAAGACCTATTTTACTATGACTCTCAAATATGCCTAAATTCTATTTTTTCGTCGAGATTTTTTTATTACAACATGCAAAAAAAAAACTTTTTTTTTTAGTATTTTTTAAGACTGTGGTCGGAACATTCCGTGCTACTTGCACAGTAACCGGCTATCCTTGTTAATATATCTGCAAATAGTAAATTATAAATTTACTATGAAGAACGAACCTGATCTTTTCCATCTGACAGAAGGAGCTCACAATGGTCTGCAGGGCATCAATGCCATGGGATCTGAAAAAAATTAAAGTCATTTCGGGCCACCGACATTTATACCACTGGACTCATAAAAAAATTCAGATAAAACTCATATTCTCCTAGAAAAGTTTACAAATAAAAGAAGGATATACCAGCCATGTAACTGATATGAAATGCAAAATAAATCTCTTTAGGATGTTTTTAGGTGTCTATTCGAGTTTTTTCGGTTGTTCCAACTGTTATGTATCGAAAATACACATGTTTCAAAAGACAATTTATCTCTTTTTGATTCAAACATTATCTTCGAAGCTCTAGACTGTCTTGAACGCTTCGGCTAATGCAATGAGATAATACTTAAATACTGCAACACGTTTGAAGCACACTCTGATTTGTACCAAAGATCTTTCGATCTACAGTCGAACTCTACCTTTGGGCTATATCCCCACAAGGACATTAATACTATGAGATGCTGGCTCGTATGATATTTGCTAGAAACACTCACCCCTTTTGGAAGTATGGTGCAATGGTGCTATTGGTGATGCTGGCCTGCTTGAGTTCGCTTCCGAGTATGCTGATCTTCCTCTTGTAGTTCCTCTCAGTCACCACTATCTCCTCCGCCCCGAAGAAGATGTTGTCCAGGTATCTCTTCTCTTTAATCCTCATCACCTCTTCTATCTGACTGCGCATCTCCGGGTAGGTGCCTGCACAAAAAAATATCTGATCCGAATTAAGATCGTTAAATGTTTTTTAAAAAAATCTATTTTTCTAATTTTTCCTTAGTAACCAAAGAAACTCCAGCTACCCCCCTCTGTCTCAAAAGGTGCCAGGGGCGTTCTAATGGAAGGGAAGATGAAGAACCCTCAAAATCAATGCATTTTGCTCCGCGGGCACCTCCAGAATAGCCTACGCTGCGAGTACATTGCAACTACATGAACGCAGCTATCCACCCAACAAACAATCGAGACACAGCAGGTGTAGCCGTGCCGTCGTCAAAACTCGTCTCGGAAGCATACTAATCTCAAGACTATTGAACTGGCACCCGACTAAGTCAACACTCTCTATGAAGATCAGGGCAAACATGGATGCATTAATTACAACATAAAACCGGCTATGGAAAATTGGTCCAGAAAGTTCTAAGTGCGGAAATAAAATTCAGAGGAACACAGTCTTTGGCATCTTATTCAATTGGATTCACTCTCACACCGGAGCGACTCACAACGGAATGGCAGACAAGACGGCTATGTAAGTAGTGCTAAACTGCCACCCTCCAAAAACACTGTTTAGACAACGTGAGATTAGTGATCCCGAGGAAGAGGAAGCGACGACAAAGCATTCTTTGACTAACACGAATAGACAAGGAAATCGAATAGACGAACCAGCGGATATACAGAGAAGACGTCGCAACTGACTAGTTTACAAAAATGTAGTCCTCACACCGCCAAGCCTTCCTCAACAGTATCGTAGCTGTCCGATTCCAATTAGGACCTGACTGCGGCAAAGAAGACACACTTCACTATGTACTGCGAGTTGACGATGTCTACGGTCATTTCGCCAAAGGCCCGCGTGATTTTCAAAAACCCCTGAGATGTATGATGTATCTTGAAACCGATGAGTCATTCAACACGCCATAAGAAGACAAATGATATTTCATAATTGTGCAGGTTTGTACCCGGCACTCGAAATAGTATGATTATTGTCTCGAAAGCAGCTTTACCGCTCGAAATCGGACAAAAAATCGTCTTCGAAGACGAGGACAAATTAAAAAAAGACAAACAAATCTTGTTGGTGGCTATAGGTTTCGTGACTATTTAGTTTGATAATGGAAACGATAGATGATGTATACATTGACTCAGACACTCAGTGTTTGAATTGATACCATTCAGTAAGTTTGGCGAAAGCAATTAACCAATTGAATCATCTTGCGACCATGGAGCAAAAGTGAAAAAATGACATTGGAAACTCAGCATCTTGGACTTCAAGTAAAAGGCGTAAAGCAAATGATGGTGATGAAGAACTGATGATCAAAAAAATCATGTGGTCTGAATTTTTTAAAATTCACTTTCCTTTTCATCTCTGGTCTGACTCACCTACATCAGGCGTGACAAGATCACTCATGCTGCTGGACGAAGGCTGAGTTGTGACCACCGACGATGAGTCATCCACACTTCTGAAAGAGCCAGTGTCAGTTCTAGTCATCCGTCCCCCATTCTCACCATCTGCAAAGTCCAAGTCGACGGGACGCTGAAAAAATAGAGGGCCTTTTACTTTTTGTTCAATTTTTTTTTTTGAAAAAAAAAAACAGTTCAACAGTTGAATATGCACTCGTGTTAGAAATACAATAAGGCTAGTGTTAAAATTTATCAAAATACTTCTGAAGATGTTCATTTGATTTTCAAAAACAAATTGCCATTTGTCTTAACTAATTATTAAATAACACAAACTGCAATCTACGTTTGTGTAAATGCATAAAGAAAAATTCATTTAGAATAAAAAATGTAAGCTTACGATTCTCATTGGCTCTGGTGTGCTGTAACTGGTCCTTGTGGTCGACTCCAAATTAGTGTTCACACTTTGGAACCACCCGCTTGTGTCATTCGTTCCACTCGAGCTCTCAAAAACAGTCGGCGTCCGAGACGTACCCGGCACGAGAAGCGAGTCATGGTTCTCCGAAAGCGTCTCGTTCGAGTCCATCGAAACTGTCAAGGTTTTGATAGTCAAGTCATCGGACAATGTTTCCTCAATGACAATCGGGGCCTGGGAATCCATTGAAATTGAATTTGATCCAGTACTGGTCTCCAAAAGTTTCGAAACTCTTTTCCAAGATTTTAAAGTAGAACCACTAGTTAATGTATCGGACCGCTTGTTTGAAAAAGTTCCGTACGAACCGCTCCTTTCCTCGCGTTCCAAATTATCAACGCTGATTCTTTGAAACTGCTGGCATTTTATCCGGAAGCTAAGCCGAGATTGATCGTCTTGGAGAACTTCGGTTTGGTGAAGGGTTGATTCAAGATGTGAGTTGATTTCTAAGTCAGAATTAGTAGTGGGATGTTCTTTCAGAATTCCTTTTAGAGGTCGATTTGACAAGGGTGCACTCTTAGTAAATGAGTCTTCAAGTTGATTTGAGTGGCGCTGCATTGTCAAGTATTGATATTATAAAATAAGCGGACACACGTAATACAATAGCAATAAAACTGAATTCCGTAATGCTCCAAGTACAAATTTTACAACAGCTTCATGAAAGCTCAGAATGGGTTCGAAATGTCAAAAATTCCAAACAATTCAACAAACAAGAAAATATAATATGACAAACAGAATCAAATTGACTATTTGTTGTTCGCTTGATTGTCCAGTAAAACAACCCGCGGCAAAATTAGTTGATCAAAATTCTATGTAATCATTCAAGTTAACAATTTAACTATTGAAAATTTCGCCCATGATCATTTAAAAAATTATTAGAAGTAAACACTAACAGTTAGGTGGTAAATATTATGTCTTCAATGAGTTTGAAATCATTTGTAGGGTTAGATTGGTTCATCTTAGCCTAAGTATAAAGTATGTGACAAAAACAGAGTTTTTATCTGGTTGTTCTTTTAGTAGCCAGGGAGGATCTAGGGTTTTCGCGAGGGAGGTGGGAATTTTTTCTGAATCAAAATGTTTGCTGACTTTTTCTTAAGGTTAAATTAATTGCATCTTCCTTAAGGTCAAATTAATTGCTTCTTCCATCTCAATCAAAATAAAAATACCATCTTAATTTGAACTAAAAACTCTGCTTCAGATGCAATTGTTTAAAAAATTTCAGCCTAACTTTCTTCAGAGCTTGCTATTCAGTTACATTAAGCAAAAATATCGGTGACGAAAAGACAAATAGCCAAAAAAGATGCCCAAAAAAGTACCAAATTGGGACACTTTGGGTCGTAAATGAGTAGACAGAATTATTTTTGATTAGAAGAAGTGTGGTACATATAAAATTTTTAAATGAAACTGGTTGTACAAACAAACTCAACAAGAATCATGCAAAAAGCTATACAGCCTATCGAGACACAACCTTGAAAAACGTAGTACAAAAAATACGAGACAAAAAGGAATTGAACCGCGCTTATATTAAAAACAAAATTATCAATCGGTGTTATCTATAAGATACATTGAAGACATGTTTTTGTAAAGCTGATTAGCTGATTCTCAGTAAACTGTTTTGAACTATCTGGTATCATATCATATAACTGCACAAACTTTAAGCCTTTGAAGGAAATATTTTGCCATGACCGCTGCCTTAATTGTCTTTTAACTTTCAAGTTAGGCTAAAATTTGGCTGTAGCAGCTCGATAACTACGTCGCGTTCTCAATTAATCCAACAGAAAAGTTCTCAGCGTGCTTTTTCGGTAATTTGTTTAAAAGTCTCGAAACTTTTTTGCTGATAGAAAAAATCGAAGACGGTCTCCATTTCATAACAATGCAGGATATATATGATGCATGATCAACTTTCCGTTTGAATTAAATAGCTTTAAACATATTCTTTTGCATCACAAAAAATTTATCCAAAAGACTTAGTAAAAAACTAGAGTAACGCAAACGATATTATTGCCTTTGCACAGCATCTGTACAAGTTTACAAGTACATATTGTGCGAAAAAGACTGTACCCCTAAAAAGTAATCCAATAAACTGAGCTAAATTACCGCAAACGTATTCAACAAGATTTTCAAATTGAAGCCAATTGTCGACCTTTTTTTCTAGGTGCTCCACCTCAGAAACTTCGACCATCACGATGTTCCCAACTGAAAAGTTTTCTCCATGCAAACCGACCAAATTTCAACATTTTGCATAACAATTTGCAATTATCACAAGGATCAGAAGGAAATTTCTGATCATCAGCTTATTTAAAGTATCATCTGCAAAAACGTTACATGAATGCGGCTGGATGACGGCCCGTCATTAATGTATAAAATAAAAAAAACGATACATTGCCGATCCTTGTCAGACACGTTTCTTACATTCTAACATACCAGAAAAGTATATCGAAGAAACCAAATGTTATTTTTTTGTGAGATAACTATTAGATTTTAAACTTTCCCTCGATCACAATATTCCAATAATACAATCAACGGCATCAAATGCCGTGTTTAAATCAGGCAAGGGAATTAATTTTTTGGTCAATTGATATCCTAAAAAATCCGTGATGGACAAACTTGCATTCTTTATTTCTAAATCCACATTATCTTTTTTGAATTAAACTATTTTGGACTCAAATTAAGTTGAACAATTGAAATTAAACTTACTTAACATTAATTAACTTTAATTACAAAAAATACCTCACAGAAGACTATAGACATAAGTGATGGTAATTTCCCCGTCTTTAAGTAGTGGTAATATATATTTAAAATTTTGAGAAAATCAGGAAAAGGTTCTTTCTTAAAGCTTGTAGCGAAAATATGCTAAATGGTCTGCCAACACTAGATAAAAAGTTTCAAGCATTTTTTTTGCAAATAGTATCATGACCAGTTGATTTTCTATGTTTCCATTAATTAAGTTTCTCCAGGACTCCCGGTCTATTCGTATCATGTAAAACATGACCTTTAAGTAGAAAACATTTGAGAAGTTTGCTGGTAATTTTTATCCAATTGTAGCGAAGTGTTTTCTTTTCTCAGAATACCCATTAGCAGGGTTCGTTACTTCAAACTTTGTTTAGATTTTTTCTATGAATTGTTTTGGTTTAAATTTAGAAAAAACCACGAAATTTTGTGCCGTTTTTTATATCTAAGTTCTTAGAAAAAATTCAAAAAGGCAAAAAAGTCAAATCTTAAAAACTAAAAGCATTTGAGCAGTCGCATTTGAATGCAAAATTTGCAAGTCCTGAGAGTATTCTCACAATACCCAACTACACGAAAAAATTCCACATTTTGAGAAATTTTTAAATATATATTTTGTAAAAAAAAGTTGAAAAACCTTAAAAAAACATCACATCTCGAATTATAGAAAAACTACAGCAGTCAAATCGGGAGATCACATTTTAATACCCCTCGAGTGATCTGGCAGCCCCTAACTACAGGTTTGGGAATTTCAAGAATGAAAAAATTAAATTTGAGTTTTCTGAAACTTTTTTTGTAAAAAACCACAAAAAAGTCTTATCTCGAAAACAACAATAAAAGAGGAATAAATTTGGATTCGCAATTACTGAAAATACCCCAGCTGCCCCCATTACAAAGAAGAAGGCTTCAAATTTCAATTTAAATTTGAAAAATATTAAATATAACTTTGCTGAAAATTTTTTGAATAAATCACAAAAAAAACGTCATATCTTGAAAAGTAAAAAAATTTGGGAAGTCATTTTTGGAGGCGAGATTTGCAACTCCTTAGAGTGCTTCGACAGCTTCTATTTTAAGGGTTGAGATTTTCAAATTTTGAAGAAAAAAATTTGAATTTAAGTGTTCTGAAAACTTTTTAAAAAATCACAAAAAACGTCAACTCGTGAACTACAAAGATTTGAACACTCATAATTGAAAGTTAGATTCTCGAACCTCGATATATTTTTAGCAGTCGCATTTGGAAGCAAGATTTGGATCTTGAAACTCCTGAGAGTACCTTCACAGTGCCCAACTACAAGATTAAGAATTTCAAGTCTTTTTGAATTTTTTTACATCTAAGTTGTCCGAAAAAAAAAAGAAATTATAAAACACATCAAATCTCGAAAACAAAAAGAATTTGAGCAGTCAAATTTGGAGGCAAGATTCGCAGCCCTTGGGAATACTCTGACAGCACGAAACTGCAGGGTTGGGAATTTTAATTTTTGTAAATTATTTTGTTGTAAATTGAGTTTTCTGAAAAAGTTTGAAAAAATCACAAAAATCGACGTATCTCCTACACTAAAAGGATTTGGGCATTCATAATTTTTTAAAAATTGGCAACACCTGGGAGAACTCTGAAAGCATCCCAAAAACAATTTGGTAACTTTTAACTCGGTGGAACAAACAATAGATTCATATTGAAAAATCGAGAAAAAATTCTTAAGCATTGCGATATACGATATAACTTAACCACGCATAGATACTCTATACCCTTAACTGTTGAAACAAACGCTTAAGCATGGCAAGATATGCCTCACGCAAAGTTAAATATAGCATAGATTGTCGTTTTGTTTTTCAGACAAAACATCAAATAACTCCAAAATGATCACTGATTGTGCAATCCAGTTTGAATATAAAGTTTTTCTGAGGTAACTATATAATCAATACATGTACTTGAAAAAAGCAATTCTCATGTGCTCAGAAGTTTCAACGCCAAAGCCAAAAAACATTTAGACGTTTTCCTACTCCCAGACGGTACTACGTACGATGGCCAGATGAGATATAAATGTTTAAGGACCCCATGAGCATAACTTCGACATTGAACATTTTCTAATGATGTCAAGGACCAATAAGATTTGAAATCCGGTCAGTGGTATTTTATACATACATAAAGTTTGCTGCTATCGTTCAGTAAAAGTGTTAAGATGACGTGTTCTCGCTCAACAGATCATTTAAAATGATTCAAATTGATGCCTGTTTTATTAGCAGCTACAACGACGCCAGCACAGGCGTTTTCAAGGTTGGAGCAATTAAAATCCTCATGAACTTCCAATCTATGAGTAATAAAAGGATCGTTATCAGAAAAAGATGTCTTTGAAAGCTCAACCAAAGCAGGTTGGCCATTCAGAATTTCATTTAAACAAAAAATTGGTCACGACGGGCTCCTATGGATTGAACATGGAGAAAAATAATTTTCGTTTCGTGCTAAATCACTCACGCAGGATTTTTGTAATGAAAATAAAGAGTAACTGTAAATAATAGCTAACTGCTTTGCCACTAATCATTTCCAGTTGAAAGACTTGGCACAGCTACATTTCTATTGTTGATGAAATTTGATTTAGAAAACTTTGCGCAAGGTAGCACAAATTGCGCCAAATTATCAGGAATAGATATTCAACTAAACAGCTCATTGATCAGTTGAACTTTTCCGACATTGGTATGTGTTTTTTCTCTATCACGTTGGTGGAAACAAAATTATTGCGAGAAAAATTCGTTTGATTACTTTGTGCCATTCGAGATTTTTGTTTAAGTGTTTTTGACTGCCTCGCCGTAATTGGACTCCTTAATGTTGAATATTTGATCAGCGCATTTCATATTAACGAAGTTATGTTTCTGAAACCCTCTGCTGTAAAGTTAGGATACAGAAACTTGAGGAGAACAATTGTAAGTCACAGTGTATCTTCTAACACCACACGAATAAACAAGAGC